GATGGATGGATGAGTTCTACTACCAACATTTCATTTATAAACCAGATTTATTCAAGACTATGTCCTGATAAAATGTAACCCACAAGGCTCACTGTAAGCCTGGCTAACCAGTCAGGAGATACAGCCTCCACCCAAAGAAAGTTCACAAAAACCACAACCTTGAAGATCAGTGTAGTGTCGCACATTGTGTGTGCTCACACTAAATCCTAGAGTTCAGGCTTACTCTTTGTTTATGAATAGTGAGGACTGAATGAATAAAATTTCATGGAAATTAATGTTAGGACTACAAATTATACCACTAATTCTGCTATTTGCTCTTTACTACTTAAGGTATTGGTACTGAGAGTCATTATTTTGATCATTTAAATACATTTTAAGAAGACTTCATTTTCTAAATAGAAATTTTAATTTTTCTGACTTAAAAGCAAGCAAGCTTCAATAAATAACTTGGTTCACTGTTACACTAAGTATCTCTTGGTTTCCAGGATTTAGTACAACCTGTTCAGCTCTCTACTGAACTATGTGGGGGATTCAGAGTCAATGGATAATATAGCATTTTGTTTTCTAAGATTTATTCTGAATAGGAAGTGAGTTTCTCTCAATGAGTACAAAACTATGGGAAAAGATTAGCAAAATCTAAGTTTTAAACCACCACTGAGCTATGGACTTGGATCTGAGCCCACATGGCAGCTTTTCATGTGACTGGAGAGCAACAGCTTGTCACAACTCACTTCACGTGCACTGAAGAGGTAGGTACCTTGGTTATCGAGTTTTTCCACGTGACTTTTCAGAATTCTCCACTGCTTTCTGATGCTGTTTGTAAGCTGCTCTCTCACAGTGTCACAGGAAAGGTCCCACATGTTCTCTCTGCTCAGCTCCCCAGCATCTTCTTCAATGTCAGAGATAACCTGCGGGGTTGGGTGGGGTGGAGTGGAAATACCAGGACATGGCTTTACCCTCAGGCAGTGGTCATCAGACTGATTACTGGAAACAGCCTTACCAAAATCTTTTCTGTGCTGTGTCTTATACATTATATGACCCAGTACTTAATATAATCCTCTTGCAAAAATAGCAGTTAAAATTGCAGACAGAAAGTGTCAAATTTAGATCTCTTCAAACACTAATCTGAATCTAAATGTAGTTATAAATGCTAGAGCTCTCTGAGGAAGAGACAGCCACATCTGTGTAATGCTGTGGGGACACTGCCTCACATTATTCAATCCTCAAATCACATGAAATACAGAACTTGGGCTTAGACAGACAAGCTCATTGTCATACAGACAAGAGGTAGAACCGAGATTTGAAGTTAGATCAACTTGTCTCTAATCTAAATAAATCTTGGGCTGGAGAGATAGCTCAGTTGTTAAGAGCACGGTTGCTCTTACAGAAGACCTGGGTTCGAATCCCAGCACCCACACGGTGGCTAACAACTGTGGGTTAACTCCAATTCCAGGGGCTCCAATGCCCTCTTCTGTCTGACAACAGAGGTGCACTTACATATATGCAGGTTTAACACTCACACACATTAAAAAAAACCTTCTTATCATCTCTGAGGTAAAGGTTAACTACTGATCCTAATTCTCCTTAAATAATTTTATATACAACTACAGAAGTTTTTCTTTCTATTGTACCAAGCCATGAAATCACAGGAAAATATAACAAATGTTGATAAATTACCATACAGAATCAAAAGATAAAAAACGTGGGGAACTACTAAGAACATATCATAACCCGAATCTGCATAAAATAGTCCTGATTTATTATTAATATCCAAGAAGGTTGATATACTTGACTGATTTGGAAGACTTTTGGAGAAAGGCGGCAGAAGACGAAAATAAAGAAGAGTTCATCAGATTGCCCCACCCCCAGTCTGAAGAGCTGGATGGAGGCTGTGCAGTCAGCATGGGGTAACAGAGGTCAAGGCTATGCAGAGCAGGTGAGGGAAAGGCTCCAGTATAAGGCTCTGTGTGACTGGTTCTTGCCAGTCAGTCCTCAGGAGCTCCTGGCTTCCAAGGAGCCACATCTCTCTGATCCATTTTAAAGCCTGTCAGAATACAAGCTAAGCATCCTTTATTGGAAGTTTGGGACCAGAAACATTTGGAACTTCAGGCTACTTTGGATTTATAAAACCCATATATATATATATATATTATATGGAGGTATGTAAGGGATGGGATGCTAGTCTAAATATAAACAAGGTTTCAAATATACCTTATATGTACAACTTGAAAGTAATTTTACTATTTCCAGTGTGTTTTGATTTTTTCACTGATACTAGCCACAGAGGTCAAATGTGGAATTTTCTACTTGTAGTGTCAAGCTGACACTCAAAGCTTCAGATTTTAGAGCAGTCAGGACTCCTATTTTTTCAAATTATGATGGTTGATCTTGATTACAAATTTGTTGCTAAAATTTTTAGTGATAGGGCTAGAGAGACTGCTCAGCAGCACATGCTGCCAAGCCCGAGGACCAGAGTTTGAGCCCCAGGACCCACATGGTGGAAGGGTAAGAATCCAGTCCCACCAGCTGTCCTCTGATCCCCCAAATAAAGTAAATTTTAAGACATGTAAAAATTTCAACATGCTGGTGTGACTTTATATACCTGAAACCCTAGCACTTGAGAGACAAGAGGAGGAGGAGCAGAAATGTTCAGTCCAAGGCCAGCCTCGACACAGCAGGTAGACCCCACCTCAGACAACAATTACTATTGCACATTTCCCAGACTGATTGAAAAAAAAAAAAACAAAAAAACAAAAAAACCATACCCACAAGATTAAAACAACATCAAAAACCCCCAACCCATCTAACTTGAATTTGGGGTTCATATTTTGGCTAATAAAACAAGCCAAATAATTACAGGAACCCTGAATGATCCCCTAGGTATTCGAGGGTTTACCTTACTCCTCTTGCTATAATATTCTATTCCAAAACCTTCCTCGAAATAAACGAGCAGTAGAGTTATTTAAATTTCAAGAGAAAGGGAAGCTAGAAAAATAAATCTTGTAAAATAGGAAAAATATTTAGACCTCCAAACTTCAACATCTGAATTGTAAAGAATCATACAGGATGATACTATCATTAAAATAATATAGTGGGAGGGCCACTTAATCATCTGATAAAGGCACCCCTGATTTATTCCCCATTTTTGCTGACTACTAAAGGACAAGCCAACACTGATGATGCCTCATGAGTGATGTAAATGAACTATGCTAATCTGAGAGAGATGTTGGTCAAAGTTCAGAACTAACTCAAAGTGACAAACTGAAAGAAAAGGTTAGCTAAATTTAAGAGCTAACACAGGCCTCAAACCAGAATGTAAAAGAATACAGTAGCGTCCTTGGTGGCTAAAAGTATAAGACAACAACAACAAAATTGTACTCATGTAACATTCATAGCCATACATTGTTACAACTATTAGTTACTGACATTAACCTTCCTGTACCTAACTTAGAAACTAGACTTTTGCATATATACATTGGAATACACCATATACAAAGGGTTTGGGACTATCCATGGCTTCAGGCGTCCACTTTGGGTCTTGGATTGTGTCCTTTGTATTCAAGTAATATTTAAAAATAACTTTTAAAAAATAAAAGCAAGAAGAGAGGTGAGATAGACTTCTTAGTTGGGCCAATTTAAGATCCCACAAGTAAATGCTCCTCCACAGATTTGCATATGCATTTTGGTAACTTGCTGGTAAATAGCATGTTCTAACCAACATTATTATTTTCAGATTTTAGTCACTGTGAACTCACCGAAAGCTAGAACTCTAACATGCAAGGCACTTAAGAAAAGCAAGTTTTTACCAATGTAACTTTTTCCAGGACTCTGAATGTTACTCCCCTTGAACTGAATGCTTTTCTCGTTTTCTACTTTAATAACATGAACCAATTTTTGGAAGAATGAACTCCAGTGTCACTTTCTGTGCACCAACCTTCCTCAGTGCTTGACACTGTAATGACCACTTCTCTGCATGTCATCCCCTCCCAAAAAGACATGTGACACTGAGTTAGTAATTACTGTCCTTCTGTTTCCTCATCTATAAGATGGGCATGATTAAAATAGAATTCAAGTATTATAACATCTGAAGCATTATAATGCTAGAAATAAATTCCCGTATATTAAATGAGAGAATGCTCAAAGTGTCTGGAAGATTATCTCCATAGTTTTCCAGGTGTGCCTGGAAACACACAGTGACTAGGGGTGGCAGAGAAGTGACTGTCATGTTCAAATACAATAATGCCACCACCCCCATCGAGAACAACGCCCCATGTTTGAACTCTTCTGATCAGCAGTGAAGACGTACGGTGCCGGTGCCGTCATCGGCTCCTTCCCTGGGTCTCTTCTTTTGAGGAGAAAGAAGAGAAATCATCTCCTTCTTCATTTGCTGCAGCACCTTCTTCAGTTCAGCATTTTCCATTAGAACTTGTTTCTGGCGGTATTCATAATCATTCAAGAGAATTTTATACATTTCATCTTCATTCCTGAGGAGGAAATCACTGGTGTGAAAATGCAGTGGCAAGAGCTAATTTTGATTAAATTTACCCGGCTAAGTGGCTTTACCTGGCTTCCGTTTTACCAGTCCTCCAGGAGCCTCGCTTTCCATCAGCTCTCCCCACGTAATTTAACACATCCATGGCTACAAATATAAGGACACAAAACATAACCAATTTTTACTACATGTTTAAAACCTAATGCACTTGATACATGTTTGCGACTGAAGTGATCTGGAATACAGGTTAGACTTCTTCAAACACTCACGAGCACTGAGGTCCTGCAACTTATTTAATTATAAGTTCATGTTTTCTCTGATTCAGAGGGAAGGACATATACACCATAGACTTAAGTGATATTAAAGTACTTAATACAGTGAAGGTGAGCACAGTACTTGGCATGAAACACAGCAGGCACTTAATAATGTTTACTTTGTCATAATTAATTTCACTACCAGGGGCTGACAAACTATAAGCTGCAGGCCAGCTACCTAATGTTGAAATCAAAAGTTTTTCTGGGACACAGTCATATCTGTTTATTTGTATATTGTCTCAGGATACTTTTCCCTCCATAATGGCAGAGGAAGCAAGCCAAAATCACTTACTATTGGGACCTCCAGAAAGCCTGCCATGCTGTTAACCACATCACCATCACATCTTCAAAGGAGTAAAGCCCTTGACAGTAGTCAATGGTGTGATGGTTTGAATGAAAATGTCCCCCATAGACTCCAAGTATTTGGACATTTTGTCCCCACATGTTGGGGCTGTTTTGGGAGGTTTTAGAAGGTGTGGCTATCCTGGAGGAAGCACAGCACTGGGGGTGGGCTTAGAGAGTTCTTAAGCCTTGCCAGATCTCCAGTCACTCTCTTGCTTCCTGTGCCTGTGTGATGATGTGAGAACTTAGCTTCTGCTGCTCCTGCTCCAGCCACCTCCAGCCATCATGCCTCCCTGCAATGACGACTATAATTCCCCTGGAACTGTAAGCTCAAATAAATTCTTCCTTCTATAAATTGCTTGGGTCAGTGTTTCTATCACAGCAACAGAAAAGTGACTAATACAAATGGCATGTTAACTCCAGATGGCGATGGACTCAGTTGGCATAAAAAGAAAATAAGTTATTGTAATTCTGGAGCTAATAAGATCAGTATGAAATATATTATTTCTAACCGAGTTTGGAACAATGAAGTTAACTTGAAAGCCACCATTCTTTTGATATTCAGAAGCACATGATGCTTAATACCTTCAGTTATTGTTATGGAAAAATCACTGCCCTCTGACTTACTTTTTCTCTGCAGATCAACCCATACCTGTCATGTTGAGCAAATAGATGCAATGGTGAAGCAAACCAATTGACCCACTTTTAACTAATTGGTTGATAAACACCCAGTTTCTATGGATATACGTAAAGACCTATAGTCTAAAATCAACCGTACAAAGTACAAGACTGACACGGAGTTGTGTGTAGTCCTTCCTCCACTGTCTCTGAGATTCTGGCTTGCTGGCTCCTTTATCTATTTCTTAGGCAGCTGCTTACCTATTTTTTTATCCTTCTTGTTCATAACAAGTTGATGCAGGCGCTCCTTTAGTTTATTGTATTCACGCTCTTTTCTCTTCATGTCATGATTATATTGAGTAGCTCGACTTGCTATGATATTTTGTAATTTTTGTACCTGAAAAAAAATTTTCCATCAAACAAGGATTGATAAATTCAGATATAACTTCACAAATTGAAAGAAACAAGACTCAGCACTCATCTTACCACACTACGATTTAAAAGTTTTAGAATGGCTCTGCTTCCCTGGGCCTGCATGACAGCCTCTCTCCTGGTAAGTCTATCTGCCCTCCCTGCCTTGATTCCCCCAGCCTCATTCATCCTCCCATCTGCCCCGCCCCTCTCTCCTCCTAGACTGGGTCCTGTCCCATTCCTTGTCTTGCTGCCCCAGAAACCTGGGGAACCACCACTGCTTCCTGATCCTTTGCATCCAGACCAACCCAGTTCCTTCTCAGGTCCCCAAGAGCACTCTGGGCCTAGTCCCGCCGTCACTGCCCTCTGCTTCACTTGGCTGCACTACCCACCAGCCTCTTTCCTGGACCCTGGGGCTAACCTTTCCGCCCAAGGCCACCACTGCTTCCTGATCCCTTGCATCCAGATGTATCCAGAACCTTCTCCAGGTCCCCAGGAACCCTCTGAGCCTGGTCCCACCCTCACCTCTCTCTGCTTCCCTGGGCTGCACAACCCACCAGCCTCTTTCCTGGATGCCTGGGCTGACCTTTTGGCTTCCTGATCCTTTGTCCAGACCAACCCAGTTCCTCAGTGCAGCCCCCAGGAGCCCTTGGGGCCTCTTCCGGCCCCCATCTCCCTCTGGACCTCTGGGTGGCACAGCACCAGCTGCCTTAGATCTGCATCTTTCCTGGGCTCTGCTCCCAGTCCAACCCCCAAATAACTAAGGCCAAAATCTTTCCTGGAGGGATCCAGACCTTAGGAGAAAGCCTGAGACCATCTGATCCTCATCTGACTTGGGTTTCCGTGGGAACTCCTGAAGACAAAAGCAATCTGGACACTCCAATACAAAATCAAAAGAGAGAACCCGAAGCTTAGACAAACCAGCTTTTCATGCCCCAAAAGTAAACCGCAAAGACACATAAAGTTTACAAAAAGAAGCAGACCTAAACTTGAAGACTTGAGTCTCACAGAAGAAACAGAAACTACAGAAGAAATTCGCATGTCAAAATCACAGAGAAAAAATAGTAACAAGAAAAACCAAAATAACATATCCCCACCAAATACCAATAGTCCTCTAGAGGAGTACAATGAGAACCCCCTAGAGATAACGCAGGACATGGAACTCAAAAGAACAATTATAAACATGATAAAACAATTCAGTGAATTTAAAGAACATGCAAAGAAATGAAAGAACTGAAGGAAGATAGGGATAAACTTCTAAATGAATTCAAAAGAACCAAGTGAAACACTCCATAAGCCAATTAGAAACGACAGGAGAAAGCCTCACCAATAGGATGAATGAAATGGAAAACAGAGTTTCAAGACTGGAAAATAAAGTGGACAAACTAGACTACTCAACAAAGAAAGAGTATAAAAATTTTAAAAAGCACAAGAATGGAATATGCAGGAATTGTGTGACACCATAAAAAGACCAAACTTATGAATCATAGGCATACAGGAAGGAGAAGAATCCCAAGATAATGGCATGGACCAGATCTTCAACAGAATTGTGGAAGAAAATTTCCCAAAATTAAAGAAAGACATGCCCATACAAATACAAGAAGCATATAGAACACCAAACAGACAGGATCAGAAAAGAAACTCTCCATGGCACATCATAGTAAAAACACTAAACATGCAAAACAAGGAGACAACACTGAAAGCTGCAGAAGAGAAGCAAGTCACATATAAAGGAAAACCCATTAGGATTACAGCTGACTTTTCAGTGCAAACTATGAAAGCCAGAAGAGCCTGAACCAAAGTATTCCCAGTTTTAAATGACCACAGATGCCAACCCAGATTACTATACCCAGCCAAAATGTCTATTATAGTCGAAGGGGAAAGAAAAATCTTCCATGACATAAATAGGCTGAAGGAATTCATGTCTACAAAACCAGCCCTTCAGAGAGTTCTGGAAGCAATACAAAGAGCTGAAGAAAGGAATGACTATACCCAAGGGGTTGCGGAAAGAAATTCAATCAAAGTATAACTGTGGAAAAGTACAGCCACATCACGAATGTACACAGAAATAAAAATGACAGGATTCAATACACATCTTTCATTAATAACTTTAAATATTAATGGACTGAACTCTCCAGTCAAAGGACACAGACTAGGTGAATGGATTAGGAAACAAAACCCATCTTTTTGTTGTCTGCAAGAAACACATCTCACTTTTGAGGACAGGCACTATCTTAAGGTGAAAGAATGGTAAAAAATACACCAAGAGAATGGTACTAAGAAAAAAGCAGGCATTGCAATTCTAATATCTGACAAAATAGACTTTAAACTAAAACTAATTGGAAGAGATAAAGAGGGCCACTTCATTCTGATCAAAGGAACAATAAATCAAGAAGATATTACAATCATGAACATATATTCACCAAACTCTGGTGTACCCAACTTCATAAAAACAATACTACAGGACTTTAAGACCCAGAGTAATCCCAACTCATTAGGGGGCCTCAATACCCCAATGTCTCCATTAGATAGGTCAACAGGGCAGAGAGTTAACAGAGAGACATCTGAATTAAACAATACCATATATCAAATGGACCTAACAGACATCTATCGAGTATTCTACCCAAGCACCAAAGGACATATTTTCTACTCAGCACCCTATGGAACCTTCTCCAAAATTGACCATATACTGGGGCACAAAACAAACCTCAACAAATACAAAAAGACTGAAATAATTCCATGCACTCTATCAGACCACAATGCAATAAAGCTTACAATCAACACCGGAAAGAGCCCTAGTTACCACGTGAACACATGGAGATTAAACAACACACTCTTGAATGATGAATGGG